AAAAAAGGTACAATCTAAAACCTATCATGCAAAGTTTGCCTTCGTAAAAGGTCATCAACATCTGCTACTCTTCCTGTTATTAACTTGAGAACAAATAATAATAGATCACTGATTATTGATTAGATTCCATTCATATGTAAAGATTTTGCCTAAATTGTTCGCCTTCAAATCAGTGTAATCAATTCACAATCCGGCGACTCTTGGTTATTCATATTTTTCGTATGCTTGATATCCTATAAACAAGAAGTACACTTCTGAATTAGGATTTTACTATTGCCAAATTAACAGAAAATTTCAAGAAAAGCTGCCTTCAAATGTATCTTTATTTTTATTTTTTTGTTCTTATATTATATATGTGTGTGTGTGTGTGTGTGTGTGTGTGTGTGTGTGTGTGTGTGTGTGTTTTGAGATCATTATTTATTCGAAATTTAAAAAGGTGCACTGTTTCTGATTTCAAAGATGCATATCCATCACTGAAACATTTGTTTACATATTTTCATAAATCTAAAGGCATATCAACAGAGCAAAATTTAGCGTTATAACAAAAAATTATAATACTCATCTTTAAATGGCTTGTTTGTTTAAAAGCTAACAATTCATTTCGGGGAAAGAAAGAGTTCGCTACTTTAACGATTTCTCTTCAGACGAGTCCTGGCCTTCCTCCTTGTAACAGTTAGCTGAGTGCTGGTATTTAAAATCACGTTTTACCCTCATATAATAGATTGTAATGCTTGATAAGTATATTAACGTAATAGTTGAATACCTTTGTGTTGATCTGTGGTAATTGAGACGAGTCATGGCCTACCTCCCTGTAATGGAGAGGAGAAATGGTGGAGCATGTGGGGAGAACACGCCATAATGTTAGTTATTTCGTTATTTTTAGTAGTCAGAGGATACAGTAACAGAAGTAGTCAAAGGTGACAGTTCCGATAGAAAATGGAATTATTTATTAGAGCAAAGTGTAAGAAAGGAAAATTATAAAGATGAAAGGAAGGGAAATGGTCAGTTTATGGCCTGGGTAAAATCATGGAAAGAACACGGGTGTGAGGGTCTCGATTCTGTCTCATGTATATATATATATATATATATATATATATATATATATATATATATTATATATATATATATATATAATTTTGATTTACAATTAATAGGAAAAGAGGGGGTAAATAAATAACCTTAGATAAGAACTGATTATTTGAGAATATTGCCCATTTTAATTTCATGTGTATTGCTAAGATTTGCAGAATGATATGCCATTTGTCCATTGTTTGGTTATTGAATAAAATATTAATGGTTAAAATGTTTCTATGACCGTTATGATAACGCACACTCAACAGAGAAATGAATTCAATCCCACACCTAAGAGCCTGAAGGACTGTTAGGTTGTGCTACCCACAAGATTTAACGGTACAGTAAATGCAGTAAGAATAGGCCTACATTTACATAAAATTGGCATATAACAAAGACACTAATATGACAGTGGTACAAATATTGATTAGAATAAAATTGATAAATTTGAATATATGAAAAATAATGTTTTCTGATATATAGATGCACACACACACACACACACACACACACACACACACACACACACACACACACACACACACACACACACACACACACACACATATATATATATATATATATATATATATATATATATATATATATATATATTTATATAAATATATCATATATACACATATATACATATATCTATCTATCTATCTAATATATATATATATATATATATATATATATATATATATATATATATATATATCTGCCTGACTATCTCTAAATTTATCAATCACCCATCTAGCTAGCCAGCTATATTTAGCCGTGATAATTTCTTCCCATAATAATCTATAGGAGAGTGATTTCTTTGTTTGCGTTTAGTGGTAGTATTTTGTGAACATTTGATCCTCCTGCTTTAGTCTCCTAATGACATTGATTCCAAGACCGTTTTCTATTTGCACTGTCATATGAATCCCTGTTTGCTAACGTCATGCCTGGTTACAAGCCTTTGGACGATTTTATATGCTATAATCCAGAAACATATTTCAGCTGAACTAGTTTTCGATTACTTTTTCGAGACGGTCATAAATCCTCGTGTGTGTGTGTGTGTGTGTGTGTGTGTGTGTGTGTGTGTGTGTGTGTGTGTGTGTGTGTGTGTGTGTGTGTGTGTGTGTGTGTGTGTTCTTACTCATTTTTTCTTACCAAGTTGTTTCAATAAGGGAGAAAAGCTAATCTCAGATGACCCTGTCTACCTTGTATAAATTGTCGTAAAACTTTTAAAAACTGATGCACATTTTGGCACCGACAACGTTTTCGGAAGACTTCCAAGCATCAATAGTTCTGTATAGAAAACTAAATTTTCGACATCAATCGTCTCCTTTTACTTTCAACTTTTATCTGTGTTTTCTCGTCCTTCTTGTGACCATCTTTGTCTAAAATCACTCTTCCTGTAACATAATTAAACAGCATAAAC